GTAGTACTCATACTGTTCGGGAGCCCCCACAGGAATGTAGATCCGAGGCCTAGGGTCATCGGTCCAATCCTTGGGGTCCCTACCCGCTTCGGCGATGTTCGAGCCGTCAATTCGCCGAGTCAAGGCGGTCCAGAATGAGCCTCTGATAAGGCGGGAAAGACGGGAAACCGGGTTCTCGCTCAGACGAGCCTCGTCCAGAACAATAGTCTTCCGACCGTAGTCCTTGGCGATTGTGAGTTCCTGGAGAAGATTGGATAGCATGTATGTGCCTCGCAAGTCGAATCTGTTGTATCCCGATGATGCAGCTGTTCCTACGGAGAAGACCTTCGTCCATGTCAGCTTTTATTCGAACGTAGCCCACAACGAATCCACTCCTACCTTTGGGCCGACATCTTCGATGGTGATCTGCATGTTCTGATCCGTGTCTTCCCGTTTCAGGAGATCGTGTAGTGTTTTGTCGACATCGATAAGGAATTTGCGGTCGTTTGACGGGGTCTCATCTGTGGCAAGGATGCGTCAGTCAAATGTACCTTGGTGCAGCCAAGAAATGCTTCTTTCTCGAGCGTACCGTGACTGGCTCTTCTCGCTGGAAAACCGCCTCCCAGGAACTCTTGAATGTCTTCCCGGTTGAAGGACTTCAAAGTCTGTGGTTGAAAATTGAGAAATGGTCAGCCACGCTTGTTGTGGGCTTATCTGACTTAATCCGTTGTACGTACCGATGAGAATGCTCGCTTGCGATCCCTGATGCGCGCTTTGCCATCGTCGCCTCCGTAGTAGACGTCGGGATCTGAAAATGGGTCAAGCGACTGGTTCCGGCGGTGTTGGGCGCTTGAGGAGCTCATCATCGAAGGGGGGGGGACGTAAGATGGAGGGGAGAAAAAGTTGCTCAGTGACGGGTGAGGCGAAAGAAAATACTAGGGCAAAAGAGGATCGGAGCAGGGGTTGTTGTTGGTTTGCCGGCTAAAGGGGGTAGCACAAGGATGCCGATAATTGAGAACGCTAGGCTCGTTCGTGGCGCTGGGAACGACAGCTGGTTCGTATTGAAAGATACCAGCTGGGATCACGATCACAAGGAATGATTCCTATAAGTGGAAAGTAGAAGCAGGGCCAAAGGTAGATGTACTTCCAGGGTCTGCTGAAGTGCAGCTAAACAAAGAGGATGTCCCCGGGAGAAGAGGAATAATATTTTTGGCCACGAGTCGAAGTTTTGGCGTCCGCGGAATCTCGGGGTACGTCACACTCGGGGGTGGGTTCTTTCAGAGTAATTGAGGGTTATCGCGTGGGGGAAAAAAGGAGCGGTGTGCACTCGAACAACAAAGCTCAAACAGAATGTTGTTGTGAAAAACAAAAGTAGAAAAAAGGGGGAGGGGTGGAAAAGACTTTCTCGGGCTGGTCTGAATTCGTATCTTCTTTTTTAAACAACAGGGTTCAATGAGATGTCCCAAGAAAGAAGTGGACGGGCGATGTGTGAAAAGGCGAGAATGAGGTTCCCTTGGAGACTATGACGCCACGAACCGATGATGTCGCCTGCTCCACTCAATAGCGATTTCTTGTTGGTATTTCGCCCGCTGACTTCGGTTCCAATGATGATAAGCCAGCTCTGTACCGACCGGTGCGAAATCTCCCGAATCCTCGAGATTGAGATGGTTCAGTTACTATCTGGACGCTGTGCCTGCTCATGCTTTCTCTCTGCGTCCTTGACGTGGCGTTGGATAGCGGTGCGATAAGAGAGCAATCGGCGGCGGGGAACCACAATTGTGTCTCTGATAATCGAGGCACAGTACAGTAAGGTGAGGTGGACGCGTTTCACCCACCACCTGTACACAGGAGAGCCAAAAAAGAGCACATGACAGAGCCACAGAGAAGCAAGGAAGCCCAAAAGAAGTAATTGAATCAAGGTTGAAAACCAATTTCACCGTTTGGGTACGATGCTTGCTTGCTTGTCTTGTCTTTTTTTTCCTCCTGCATCATGCACTGTATTTGTTTATCGATTTGGTCCATGCACATTGCTGCGGTCGTACCAGATCCGACTTAGCATTGGATTTAGCGTTTCTCAATCGAATTGATCACGGGGGAAGTAAGATCGACATGATCGAGATGCTTAAGACAATCCATGGTTTGGTAGCACGGTCGAATCATCATCACTCCGTTTTGTTACACACGGAGGTTGAGTCCTGCTGTCCTCGAACTGCGGGGGGAGCGTCGTTGGGTAGCTCAAACATTGTTAAGCAAGTGGCTGGCAACCCTTGATGAATACCTAACGCAATTCCGAAAGCCATGCACGATGCAGCGACAATTGTTAAGGATCATTGAATGCTATGGCAAGGCTTCGGTCCCGGCATAAGGTCGAGAAAGACTGCGCGGTCTCGGCAACGCCCAAAAATATTCGCCATGCCGGCGTGCAGAGTCACAATCTGCCAAGGACAGAAATTATTGTATCACTTGTCGAAGTTGAGCTGTTCTGGCCCGGGTTTCCAACCCAACATTCATAGTAGTAACTCTGTTGCAGAGTCTCGGGTCGTTAGTTTCTAGACTATCGTGCTCGGCGCGCTTACTATCAACTGTCGATGACTTTATGTACCGTCCACAAACCCATGGCCTGCCTCTTACCCAGGACTTTGTCATGATGGGTGAAGATTGAAACAAGACGTTATCCTTTGTCGAGATTCTGTAATCGGTGAGGTTTCGTTCTCAGGAATCACAATGTCATTATGGTTGAGATTGGCTCCTTGCTGTTTATGGAAAGTTGAAGGCAGAGCCGAGCGGAGTGAGATCGTCCCTTCCGGCCGTAAGTCGCGATAAACCCCTAGAATCATTCTCGAAACATTGTACGCATGTACGGAGTACATCTGGCTGTAAACATTCCGACCGATGACAGGCAATATGATATGTTGCCGATGAGTAACATGCTTTGCCTTACGACCAAGTACCGGTAGATTACATGCATACAGAAGATCAAGATAATCAATGTGATACGTATGGCTCCAAGTTCTGCAGTGACATATCGATAACTTGGTCAGCTGATGTTGAGTGTTATTAGCCTCAACAATGTGGCGCCTCAACACACACACTATTGCCTACAATGCTCAAAAATGACACATCTCCCCGTACTGGTATGGGTCATGCTAGTTCATCAGGTGGTACTGGCTCGCAAACTACGAACTGAGAGTGAGTTCCACCGGTAGGTCAGAGCCTTGATTAACCTTCATGTTGATTTATCTTTGAAATGACTATAGGCTAATGTCTCGACTGCTTCGAATGGCTGACAGCACTGATTACAGCTTAGCAGCCACAGAGCTTCCACCGTCAACAGTGATAGTTGCTCCGTTCACATATGCACCAGCCCGGCTCCCCAGGAATAGACAAGCCCCTGCCACATCTTCCGGACTTCCGATACGACCCAATGGGATATTCCCCTCGATGGTCTCGCGATGCGCCTCCAAGGTGGCGGCCATCATCTTACTCTGGAAAGGACCACAAGCCAGAGTATTCGACCTGCCAGAAAAGACGACCACATTAGCTCAACTCTCATCGGCAACCAGACAGCGAGGGCCGCAACATACGTGATATTCCTCCTTCCAAGATGATTAGCCAAGACTCGGCTCAGATGATGCAAACCAGCTTTACTAGCGCTGTAAGCAAAGGTCTCCAGCGCCGGGACTCTCAACCCATCGATACTGCCAATGTTAATGACCCGAGCCGGGTCGCCCGGCGCAGCAGCCTTCTCGAGCAAGGGCGTGAGAAGCTTGGTGAGGTCGAACACCCTGTGGAGGTTGAGAGTGAGGACCCGTGTCCAGGCGGAAGATGGGTAGTCATCGTATGGGGCACCCCAGTTCGATCCCGAGTTGTTGACGAGAATGTGAAGCTCTGGTATCAATCAGGTAAGCGCTTCATAACTCTTGCCACCCCACTTCAACTGCCAGCCCGCTCGTGAGGGGGACCGAACGAAAGACGCAGCACTCACTACTCTCGCGCTTGGCCAGCTCTTCTGCCAATTTCTTGAGATCTTCCTCTTGGTAAAAGTTGGCGGGAATGGCATAGGCCTTGCCCCTGCCGAGCGCATTGAGCTCGCTGGCGGCCTTCTCGCAGGCCTTCGCATCGCGCGAGGAGATATAGACGGTGGCACCGTTCGCTACATATCCCTCGGAGATCATGCGGCCAATGCCTTTGGCTCCGCCAGTGACCAGCACTACTTTGCCCTGATAGCTAGCTTAGCGTTCATGATACTCGACTGGGAAAAGGGGGTGTGTGCCGCTAGATTTTGCGTGACAATGCGACTAACCTTAACATCGAAGAGTTTCTGGACGTCCATGATGGGCTCACTTTCGAATCTTCAGGGTCTCTATTTATATATGATAGAGCTATAGATGTAGAGTACCTGCTGAAGAAATAGTTCACGTTAAAGCGTCGAACTCGCGAGCGGTGCCAGATGAAGCTCCTTATACAATGCGGAGAGAAGATGTCGGGGTAAACTAACCGACGGCCGAGCGATTACTGAGCGGCTTGGCACAAGAAGCCGAGGCAATCCGGACTGAGAAAGAACCAGGGCACAGTTGAGAGGGTGATCACTGTTTCTTTGGGTTCTGGTTACATACTCATATCTCGAGGAAGTATACCGACTTCTCAAAGGATCATTTTTAAAGAATCCGTGGTAGTCTTTGTACCTACAGTGATGCCTGGTGCCTGAGGTTGTCCTGAGGTTGTAAGCTCCGGTCTAGTCTAGTGATATGTATGCCTGAGGCGTCGATCTCTAGAGCGGAAGGACGGAGGACCGCAAAAAGTGCGCGCTGCAGTGGCGGGGCAATTCCACCCTGCGTGTTTGTTATCCAGCAAAAGTCCAGTAGCCCACCTTTGGGACCTATACCCTCCATTTATCCACGTTCTTCTTGCATATTTTCCTTGGAGTATTTGAACTCATACATATCCAGTTGGGGAGTTGTTGTTTTCATCCTTATATCTCCTTGTATACCACAACAACCAATACAGCCAACCCTGCAGCCATGGAGGAGCTGCAAGCCCGACACCGCAAGGAACAGAAAGACCTGCAAGCGAAGATCACCCAGAAGAAAAAGTCCGCCACCAAGAAAACGCGCAAGGGGATCAACGATGAATGCGATCGCCTGCAGCGGGAGCTCACGGAGCGACACCAGGCACAGATTGCGGAGTTGAGCGGCGAGCCCGTGGACGGTAGTCTCGAGGACCTCAGCCTCAACGACAGCAAGTCCGACGATGATGATGACGAAGTTACGAGCAAAGACGACGCCAAAAACTCTACAGATGATCCCTCGGCCTCCACAACCACAACGACGACGACGTCGACGCCCCCAAGCAGCAACAGCAGTAGCACCACCACCACCACGGACACCCCGCAGCCCTCCGGCGGCCCGCGCCCCAAGAAACCGAACCGTCAAAAGGCCCGTCTCGCGCGTCGTGCCGCGGAGCAAGCGGCCCAGTCGGCGATTGCAGCAGAGGAGGCCGCGAACCAGACCGACCACCGGGGCAACGAGAAGGAGGTGATGGATGCCGTGTTCAAGCGCTTGCAGCTGAAGGAGATTGAGATCAACCCGGACGGACATTGTCTGTACTCCGCGATTGCGAGTCAATTGGACGAAATGGGTCTGGGGCTCAGACCGGATCCCAAGAGGATGGTTCTCCAGGCTCCCACGCAGTCGCGAGTGGAAACGGTCACTTTCCCGAAGCACGATGGGTACCGAGCGGTCCGGGCGGTGGCCGCGGACTTCATTGCTGAGCATAAAGATGACTTCGAGGCGTTCATGGAGGAGCCACTGGATCAGTACACCAGGAAGATCAAGCTGACTGCCGAGTGGGGTGGACAGCTCGAACTGCAGGCGCTGGCGAGGGCATACGGCATCGAGATCAATGTTATACAAGGCGACGGGAGGATCGAGAAGATAGAGCCGGGCGATGTTGATGGACTTGATGACGAAGCGAGGGGTAAACGGGTCATCTGGCTGGCATACTACAGGCATACATATGGGCTTGGGGAGCATTACAACGCACTATCAAAGCAGTCCTAGAGAGAGAGAGAGAGAGAGAGAGAGAGAGAGAAGCAGCGGAAGCGAGAATCAATTTGAGCGAATCAGACCGGTGGATCCATCAGGGATTTGACTGATTCATGATGATGTGTATCCGTCTCGAGTTCCACCCACAAGCGCACTACCGATGGCGCCATACGGAGACTCGATCTTGGACCACCCCGTTGCTGTCCTTACCACCTTCATGTGTCCGAGCAGGCTGGAAGTACGCCACGCGCTCGAGACCATGCTCGCTTGGCTCGCGAAGAGGATCCATCTTGCATCGACCCTGGGCGTCATACGGGATCTGTTCACCCGGGTGACTCAAATGCTCCATGTAGGCCTCCGATGAGACTCCCCAAGGGGGTCCCTGTTGCGTCGGGTCCTTGTGCCTTGGAAACTCTAAGCAGATTAGATTGCCGCACGGTGAAGGCGCCAGAAGCTGGGTGTGTCGCAAAGCCCAATTTGGTCGCATCGTTGGATTTAGTGCGCAGAAGAACTGTAGATACGTGTAAGCCCAGATTCTGGCTATCATGGACGAAGATACGAGAAACGTAAAACAGGGATCAAGCTAAGTAGCCTTACCGTATAATCGTATATCAAGTCAAAGCAGTTAAGCGGTAGTTGTAGACTCTCCAACCAGTCATTCTTGAAAAAGTCGCCTTGCACGAACGCAATCTTTCCTCGACCTATTCCAGAATCTCGGACAGGGTACTTGTCCCCATTCTGAGCCGCCTCGCTCTCACAAATCTTGAGTGCAGCATCGCTATACTCCAGTCCATAGGCATCGTAGCCAAAGCTGGCAAGAAGAAGCACATCCACTCCTCTGCCACAGCCGGGAACCAGTGCTTTCTTTCTGTAGGTTGCTCCCTGTGCATCCGTGGCAATTGGACCTCCGAGGGTCGCGCGCTGCTGAGTGAGGGCATCTTCCAATGCGGGATTAGGAATACCCTTGTCCCAAGGCAAATTGTCGTTCTTATCCCAGAGTTCAGCCCAGCCGTCAATATAGTCATCCCCTTGATACTTGGCCAACGTGTCCCTGACTTTGCGTTGCATGGTGGCTTTGTCTGAATCCATCTTGCTTGTGGTTTCGTAGACTGTATGAAGATAAGATGGCGTTTCGGAATATGGAGGTTGTAGATTCAATGGCACACTTCGAGATTGATGACGATAGTAGCCCGTTGCGTGTATGCATGCTCTAAAGCATAGGCAGGCAGGATGTTCGATCAAGTATCGGTTCGAAATGCTGGTGGGCGTGGGGCAACTTGGACCGGCGGATCCGAGTCACAGTATCCACAAGAGTCAACCGGGCTGGATGCAGTCTGAACAATCGGCATACTCACCCCAGACGTTTTTGTCAATGATTTTAAGCTTAAATGTCTTGAAAACGTGTGGAGTCGAGCTCAGACTTCAGAGGTTGACCAATGCACCATTGTTATTGCTCGAGAGCTTGCTCTTACCATGGGAGAGACAACTCATATGATATTTCTACTATAGTGAGCTGCACCTAGATTCAATTGAATAACAGTTGAGAGTCTCAGAGCATTCGTCGTATCCTCAATGATGATGAGAAGAATCGAATTTCTTTTCGCAACAAGGACCTGGAGCAGCAACGATAACCACTCACGAGACTGGCAACTGGTAACAAAGTACATATTGCACAGTTCAGTTCTACCGAGAGACTCCAGCTCTCCACTCCCCGAGCGGGCATTGACCTCGGCAAGTTTCTTGTTCTTGCGATGGAGGGCGGCAATGCCCGCTCATCAAGCCTTCCGACTGGAGCCCTCGGATGGAACGGCATCGGCCTTGGCTTGCCTGGCTCTACCAGATTAGGACTTAGATTTGCAGAATGGGGTGGTTTGCTCACTGTTGCTTACATACTCGTACTGTAGACTTTGTTGGACTCTTTCGGAATCCCAGTGGTGAAGCACACAATCGGCAAATTGATAACGATGGATCCCTTGGAAAGAAGAAAGGAAAGTAAAGTGGGGGGAAGAGGGAGGGTCCACGCGGGCGAAGGCCATCGCCTGCCTGTTTGGGATCCATGCGAGATATGGACTGCACAACAAGTGGAAGAGACTAACCGACCAACACCTCCTCCTCTAAAGTCGTTCAGGATTTTCCCCGTTGTTCCAAAACTATCTCCGCACAATATTTCTTTTGCTTCTTCTCGTCTTCTCTTATCGGCCATGCATATTTAAGACAAAGATCTGCTCTTACGCAGCTCGACAATGGCCAGCGAGCTTCAACATATTAGCCAGGCATCATTTCAACTCAACTACTAGTCACACTATCCCCACTGAAGGCCGCATGCGTGATTCTCTTCGCTTGCTCGGCCTTGTCGTCTCTGTTATCTTCCATCCTGGCATTAGAACATAATTCCCACCCTGCCTTTCCTTAAGATCCAGGGAAGAATCAGACAAGCCAGTACAAATAGCTTTACTGCTCGCTAAGCCGTACATTGCCACTCGCATCTCTGAGAAGTCGTGCTCGGATGTCAATATACCACCCATTTCCGCTCTAAATATCTCTATGGGTAATGGCGGCAGGCAAGAGCATTCACAAAGACGAGGTCGAAAGCCCTGCGGGTACCAGCGAGACTCACCGCGACGTTGTACCGTCCAAGAATATAATCGAGACACACATTGACGATAAGCCTGAGCCTCAGAAAGCCGACAGCTCTCCGGTCATAGAAGGTAAAGATGAGGAAGATCGTGCTTCTTCGACTCACACGTCTCACGAGGAGCAAGAGGAGCCAGTTGTGGTACCCCGACTGGAGCGTAGGGGGCTCTTTGGGCAGCTCACCCTGCTGGCGGAGGTGGTAGACCCCAAAGTCTATCCTCGGAAGACGAAATGGTTCATCACATTCATAGTTGCAGTGGCCGGGGCTGCAGCTCCCATGGGCAGCTCGATCTTCTTCCGTGAGTCTATTCATGTCCCCCGACACCAAGCCCGTTCTAACCCGTGCCTCCACTGGGCAAAGCCTCCTTGTCTCAGGTATCAAAGGAACTAGGTACCTCGACTACCGTCACGAACCTGTCAATCTCATTGTACATGCTTAGCATGTCTATCTTTCCACTGTGGTGGTCTTCTTTCAGCGAAAGGCTTGGGCGACGAACAATATATCTTGTCTCTTTCACTCTCTTCGTCATATTCAACTCATTGTGCGCCATCTCTAGCTCAATCGCTATGCTCATTGTCTTGCGACTCCTGAGTGGAGGTGCTTCTGCCTCGGTTCAAGCAGTTGGCGCAGGGACTATTGCCGATCTTTGGGAGCCACGGGAAAGAGGGCGTGCCATGAACATTTTCTATCTGGGGCCGCTGTGCGGGCCATTGATAGCTCCCATTGTTGGTGGTGCTCTAGCTGAGCGATGGGGGTGGAGAAGTACCTTGTGGTTTTTGGCAGTTTGGGGAGCTATCACTGTCATCCTCATCTTTCTTGCACTTCCTGAAACCCTGGCCGTCTCTGGTCAGGTAAGACAACTCAAGGAAGAACAAACAGAACCGATAGATCGTCAATTGAGTCGTGTTTCATCTCGGCAAGTCATTCACGTTACAACCAAATGGCTCAAGTATCTCAAGATGGTACTCTTGGATCCTCTGAAGATTATTCTCTATCTGCGGTATCCCCCGGTTCTGCTCACGGTCTACTATGCCAGCATCACGTTCGGCTCTCTATATGTACTCAACGTTAGCGTTGAACACACGTTCGGAGGTAGCCCGTACAATTTCACTACAATCATCGTCGGCTTGCTATATATTCCAAACTCACTGGGTTACGTCGTGGCCAGTACCTTCGGGGGCCGTTGGATGGATAGCATCATGCAACGGGAGGCCAAGAAAGCCAAACGGTACGACGAAAATGGCAAGCTTATATATCATCCTGAAGACCGCATGCGCGAGAACGCCTGGCTTGGGGCTTTTCTTTACCCTGCTGGGCTGATATGGTATGGCTGGTGTGCGGATCGGGGCGTGTTTTGGCTGGCACCGGTACGTCCCAAGCCCTCAAAGCTGTCAACTACCATCAAAGAATTCTTGTTGTCCCTGTTTACACATTCTGAAGCCTCACTGACTGAACCCGGCAGATGATTGCGAACTTTTTCTTTGGTGTCGGCTCCATGCTGATATTCGGTATGGCAACGACGATGTTGACCGAATTCATGCCCAAGAAATCATCTGCAGGAGTTGCACTCAACAATTTCATGCGCAACATCTTCTCGTGTGTGGGCTCTGTGGTCACTGCGCCGATCATAGATGCCATCGGCAATGGGTGGCTTTTCACCATCCTTGGACTAGTCGCTTTCGCGAGCAGTTCTGTCCTCTTTGTGATGAGGATCTACGGACCCCGATGGAGGAAATCCATGGACGCGCTCAGAAAATGAAATCTTATATAAGAAGGCTGTGAGCATCTTTTATACTCGACCAAGGGCTTTGGCATTGCTTTGGGTATCCATGTCAAGATCTTGGGCTTCTATCGGCGCAGTCTGTTACACGGTGACATGAGTATCTGACGTCGACAGGAGGCTTTCCCGGGTAAATATCACAATGCATGCATTCGATTCTCGTTTTAAGTCCCTGCGTGAAGCTGAGTCTAGGCCCCAACCTCGGTGCCACAGAAATGGTGATCAATCTGGCCGAGCACCACAGCATATTCCAGGAAACTTGCACAGCATCATGATACCCGACGCATGGTCATGTTTATTTTTAGAGTTAGTAATGACGGCATACAGATGACTCAATTATATATACTGTCAAACTGTAAGTATACTGTATTGCCTTCTCGTCAACAAAGTAATCGATGTCATCGGTGTCAAGCATGCAGCTGAACCCGATTGTGATGCCAGTGGCTGCTAAAGGTAGGCGGTGATTATCAACAGCCTCATGTACAGTGCAGAGCATGTTTCATGTGAACAGCCTAATAGCCTTTCCGAGCTCAGCGACCAAAAGATACCTTATTTTAACACTTCTTGCATGAATGACCGGTGGTGATGTCAGCGCAGTCAGACATTGTCCAGTACTCCCAACGTCTCGGTACTATTTTTACCGTCTCAACATACTGTAGTTAATGGTAGGGACATTTATCGGTCTGCCCTAGCCCGCTCTGCGTTGCTCCTTGCGAGCCCAAAATCAAAAATTAAAGCTCAGGTAGGACAGCAGCAAGTATGAAGACAAAGCAGCGGCGGAAAATCCGAGTTTGAATAATGATTTGTCGACAAGAAGCCCGAGAGAAAAGCGAAGTAGATGTAAAGTGAAGCCTTGGAAGCATGAACTGATTTTCCATCATCTGTTCGGGTCCCAAGCGGCAACTTGCATAAGTTGCCCAGTGGGGAAAGAAAAAGCCATCTTACTCATAATTCTAGATGATTTTCGGCAAGGATTAATCTCGTGACGATAACTCTGGCCACGCTGAGTACAGTACGTACAGTGTAGTAACTACTAGGCTAGTTACTACACAGTAACTATGGAAAGAGGCAAAACCCGGACTCTTCGGCCCGCTGCATCTGACCTCCCTCCCTCTTGCTTTGTCTTTGTTCGCCTGTCTGGTGGTGGGATGACCACTGTGCGGCTCAATGGATAGGCTGGCTTACTGGATAATCATATATTTTGTTTGTATGGGATAGAGAGGGCAATACGACAAACTACGTTTCTTGCAACACGATTTGGTGCAGCGACCCTTCCTCCTTTCTCCCTCGTTATGACCACCCCACTCCTCTCCAACTCCCTCCCACCCGCCAATTCTCCCCATGAGATCTGGAACACTCACCTTTCACCAATGAGTGGCATAGTGTGACAGCAGGGAGTCTTTTGGGCCGTGGGTTGGGTGACGCACGCGCAACTGCAGCAGAAGAAGGGGGAAAGAATTGGAACAAATCTGGTTGGCGACTGAAGGAGAGCCAATTGTTTTTTGTTGGTCGTTCTCGCTTGCTGGCAAGCAGAATGAGATCGTGACTTCCCCTACCTCCTCCGATGAGATGCATAGAAAGATCTAGATAGTAGGGGGGGGGGAGGGAGGCGCTTTTTCGTTGCTTCTGAGATTTTGTCCATCATCGCCCATCGGGAGGCCCGACAGTCTTGTCTGATTGCAGATGCTATACTACTTGGATCGTTGACGTGGAGGACGTGTCAAGAGGGGGAGTGGGAGATTGTCTTGGTATGCACTGTGTTACTCCTCTCTTTTCTGCTTCGTCCAAGCGCCCTAAGCAGGGACTTGTGTGCAGAAGCTGTCAAATTGGTGATGGAGAGTCCGAAAGTACTCAGTACTCAGTGCTCAACGAACGCAAGGTGGGCAGCGAAGTCTGCAGCGATACTCTGTAGTCCCCGCAGATTTACGTACGGGGAAAATCGGTTTCGTTTCGGACTTTTCGAGAGCGAACTTGGATTGAGGCTAGCTTAGTTAGCGAGTTTTATCTTTTCTCCATCTTCAGCATAGATAATCAATCTTTGAGGTTGTCTGTCTCCTCAATAATACCAATGGGTCCCCGGGGATGGGGGGCCCGAAGATTAGTGGTGGTGGTGGATGCTATGGCGGCCACTCACAGGCTGCCAAAACAGCAGACCGGCGCGCCTCACTTCGCTGCGGGTGCGACGACGGTCTGGGAGTCCTGGAGCATTTATTTTCTGTTCCTGCTCGTGGGATGGATATTTCTCGGATCAATGGGTGCCAGAATGCTGCAGAAGTCGGAGAATACTTGTCAGCTGGAAAAAGAAAAGGGAATATCGAACCCCTGGTCCGTGTCATTTGATGCGGTGCCCGGGTGGTGTGGTTGTGTAGCAAGAAGGATGGAAAGATGGAAACAGCCTGAGGCCGAGGCCAGGCACTGCAGCGTGGACAGGAGACGAGACTTGAGCCTACTGTGTACAGAGTAAACAGGCAAGCCCGCTATTCCTGGTCAGGCAGTCCAGTGATCTACGGGCGGGTGCAGTAACTATTCGTAAGTAGGTACAGTACTAACTAACTGGCGTCCACTTGCTGACTTGGCCGGTGGGGATTCGCAATCAAACGGATCTTCCTCTTCTTCTCCCCTTCTTTCACAGCTGCCACAACAATCGCCTCCCCTGAGGTGTTGGCCGTGCCTCTATCAGGTACCAGAGCACAGTGCAATGTGGCCTTCCCTCATTGTCTCCCAATCGATCCCCCTCACAGCTGAAATCTCGATGATGATCTCAGATGATGACAGTGATGTGTTCTGCTCATGATCGATCGCCCTCTTCAGATGGCCCAAGTATACCGGGAGATACTCTATGTACAGTACTCCGTACAGAGTGCACTGATCAGGAAATGGGCCCGGCCATATCGCACGCACCAACTTCACCACCCCCAGTTACAGTACACACAAACTCCCTATCCCATGTCGCCTCGAATTGACATGGGTCCCAGCCTCTAAAGACCCCCTCTCCACACAAAGAAATGCATCCAATCTGTTACCCTGTCCACGCAGTTGTTGGGCAGGAATTCACAACTGCTTCCACAGGCGCTAATGCTAATGCCAGTACGAAGGTCGATATTGGCAGTGGTTGCAGTCAATCAATTTCCGAGTAACCAGAGTCATTCACGTCTTCAGCTATTCTTCGCCCTCGATTGCTTGCCTGCAACGACTTTATGTCGCCTTCATTGGCTGGTCATATCACTTAACCTGGCATCAATCCGTGTTCACCCTGCATCCTGAACTAAAGCTGCCGGTTTGACCCTATGCTTTGTTTTTCCCTTCTCCGCACGGAGAAACTCCCTTCCAACTGCATCAACTTGCAGCTCTGCTTTGATGATCGACCTCAAATGATCATCAACTAAAGAAGAGAGCAAAGACAAGGCAAAAACAATCAAGGAAAACGAAAAAGTAAAGAGTTAACCAGGCTCGGGAACAACAACAATCAGAGGGTCCCGATGGAGCTGTGGCACCACCCCCACCACGCTAAGGACTCTCTCAACGAAGCACCACCCATCTCCCATTTCCCGACTGTCCAGCCTGCATTCTATCCGGACTGCACGGCGCACCCACTCCCCGCCACCACTACTGCGACCTTTGCAAATGGCAGCCCTCCGGCTTCCCCCCCTGCCCCAGTGATGCTTCCGGAAAAAGACCCTCTGTCGATGTCCCCGTCCGCCAGGGCCATTGGGCCCGTGAGACGTGGCCCAATCAGAAGAGATGCCGTTGGGCAGTTCGTTCATGACGTCCCCAGCCCCAAGCCCGAAAAGTATTGCTCAACAATGTTCTATACGACCGGGAAGTGGATTCGCTACGATACGTTGCCTCGCATTGAATCCAGCATGGAGCCCTCATCTCGTTGGCGTACCGGTACATTCGGGCCTTTGTCGCTCTGGTCACTCAACTCGCCCTTTCCAGGCCCTCTAACCTAATCCAACAGGGTTTGCTTTCGAGCCTTTGACCTGACATTTTACATATTCCCTCCCTCCGTTTCACATCCTGTGCTTCTTGCATTGCCCCTATTTTTGGTGCTTCGTTCATTCGTCTCTTTCCCCCTTGTCCATTTTCGCCCTATCTAGAACCCGACGGGAGTATGTCATAGTTCCTGAATGAAAATTTATACCCCCTCCTCCCTCCCTCACCAAGTCAGCTGGAGTCTAACATAGCTCAGTAACACTCGCCACTGATCCGATGCAATGGGTAAGAAGAAGAATACCAACAACAAAAAGAAGAACAACAACAACAACAACAACAACAACAACAACAACAACAACAACAACAACAAAAATCGACTACCGATAAACGACAATCCAAATTCCAACGAGCAAGCTTCTTCCCTTGCTGAACCCGCCCCGGAGACGGTGGCCGAAGTGATTGAGAATGGAGCAACCATCGATCCAGTATGCTGAGCTTCCCAAGTTTGAGTACCATCAGACACTCGAGCGTCATTACCAGACCTTCGACCGTCAAACCATGCAATTTCATTATTATTCTGTTGCTGCTACCTCGTCCGATGATGGTCTGACCCCGGCTAAGGACCAGGAGAACAACAAACCCGTTGAAGGCCAACCTTCCGACAGTGCCCCCCAGGAAGAAGGATCTGATAGCACCTCAACTGATGGCTCATCGTCGCCCGATTCTGGAGGTATGTATTGGCCTACCTTTGCCTCGCCCTCTCCATCTTGTCCCAACAATTGCTTTCTTGTAGTATACCGTCATTCTTACTAAGTATCTATTTAGAAACGTCTGAGACAAGCACACCACCTTCCGAGCCCGCTGAACCCGCTGCTGATGCTGTCGACGATACCGATGCAGCACCCAACAAGGACAGCGCGATACCTCCCGCTCCAGATGCACCCGCAACGGATGCGGACGATAGCACACCAGCCGAGGACGCACCCAAAGAGGACGCACCCAAAGACGTAGAGCCAGAGCCCGCGGCCCCCGACGCAGCCGACAGTCCACCGGCACCAGCGGAGGAGACTACTGAGCCTCCCCCCAACACTGGTATGCCTACAAAGAAGATCAGTTCACTAAGTCAGCTAACATTACACGTAGAGGAAGACTTTCCGGCCTGCGACCCCTCCGCCGAAGAAGATAAAGTCGAAGCCGAAAAGCAGGCGGTTGAAGCTACCACAGCGGAAGAGGAGACACCAGCAGTCGGTACAGAACACCTCATTGATCTGAACATTGACATTGTTGACTTCGACGCGACAACTGACCCCTATATAGACGGCCCATCGACAGAAGAGGTCCCGCCCGATACGAATGCTGATGATCCCGGTGACGACAATGCAGGTGTGAATGACAATAGTGATGCAACTAATGACATCTCAGCCACAGAAGCTAAACCGGAGGAGGAACTGAAGGAGGCCGAGGCTCAGCCAGAAGCTCCTGCTGACGTGGGGGCACCAGCTGCCCCTGCTGCAGCTGAAGGGGACGCGGAAGCGCCTGCGGCTGACAGTGCTGAGCCTTCAACCACTGAGGCCGATGTAGGGGAGGCTGCGGAGGAGGCAAAGGCCGAGCCCGTCAAGGAAGAAGCGCTAGAGGCCGCAGAGCAGGCAGGGGAGGGAGCGCCAGCAGAGACAAAAGAGGAGGTCACAGCAGACGCAGCTGCCGCCGAACCTGAGGGGGACGCTACAAAGGCAGAAGAATCTGCACCAGTTGAAGCGGTCGAAGAAGCAGGTCCCACTCCAGAAGAGACTGAGTCGCCTGCAGCAACCCAAGAACCCATGGCAGAGGCAGAAGCAGAGGCAGAGGCAGACCCCAGCCCTCCAGCCCCCACTGATGCGCCCGAAGAAGCTGCTTCAGGAGAAGTTGTTGAGGAAAAGGGCGCAGGCGAAGACATTGCCGAGGTCGAGGCACCTGCCACAGAGACCGCGGCCGATGAACCTGCTGCTGATGCAACAAAAGATGCTCAGGATGCAGCACCAGCTACACCCGAGGAATCCCCAGAAGTGACGGAAGCGGCAACCGACGAGACACCAAGCCAAGAGACGGCAATCGAAGAAACCACGGATGAAAAGCCGGCCGAGGAAGCACCCGCGGAGGCGGAGGCGGCAGCTGAAGCTGCACCAGCGGAAGATCCTACAGATGAAGCTGCATCGAAAGAGGAGCCTGCTGTTGAGGAGCCTGCAACAGCCGATGACGTGGCTGCCGAAGGAACAGCACCCACTGAAGATAAGGCTATTGTAGAAGAACCTGCTCCAGCTGAAGAGCCCGCTGCTGAGACTCCTGCTGCTGAAGAGGCTCCGGCTGCAGAAGAGGCCCCTGCTGCTGAAGAACCGACTGCTGCTCCAGAAGAAACTCCTGCCGAAGAAGCTGTCGCTAAGGGGGTTGCCACCGAAGAACCAGCCGCCGAGGAAGCCCCTGCTGCTGACGAAGCCCCTGCTGCTGACGAAGCCCTCGCTGCTGAGGAACCGGTTGCTGAAGAGCCTCCCGCCGTTGAAGAAGCTCCCACCGCTGAGGAACAACCTGCTGCTGAAGAAGCTCCCGCTGCTGAAGAAGCTCCTGCCGTTGAAGAAGCTCTCACCGCTGAGGAGCCGCCTGCTGCTGAAGCTGTCGCCAAGGAGATTGCCGCTGAAGAATCTCCCGATGTTGAAGAAAGCCCCGCCGCTGAAGAAGCCCCTGCTGCCGAGGAGCCCGCACCGGAAGAACCTGCATCTGCGGACGAACCGATCGCCGTCGAAGAAGCTGTCGCTGAAGAGGTCGAGGCTGAAGAGGTCGAGGCTGAAGAGGTCGAGGCTGAAGAGGTCGAGGCTGAAGAGGTCGAGGCTGAAGAGGTCGTCGTTGAGGAAGTTGTCGAGGAAGCCGTTATTGAGGGAGCTGCTGAGGAGCCTGCAGCAGAGACCATCACTGATGAACCTGCGGCTAGCGAAGAACCCCCTCTAGAGAGATCTATTCCCACCGACGAGCCCGCCACTCCCGAGGAGCCGGCTCTCGAAGATGCCACTCCCGTTGCAGAGCATGCCGAAGAGCCTGCACCAGAAGAGGAGCCCGCACCTGTTGAGGAGCCTGTTATTGTCGAGGTTAGTCCTGCAGAAGATGTACCTGAAGAGCCAGCGCCTGCAGAAGATCCTGCATCTGAGGAACCTGCCCCTGCTCCTGAGCCGGCGGCGGAAGAAGTTGCGCCTGCCGAAGAGCCTGCACCAGAAGAGGTGGCCGCGCCCGCGGAAGAATCTGCATTTATCGAAGAACGTGCTCCTGCTGAACTCGATCTGGTCGAACGTTCTCCCTCTGAGCCTGAGCTTCTTGAGCGTTCTCCAGCCGAAGTACCTACTCCTGCTGAGGAGCCTGCTGCATATGAGCCTACTCCAGAAGAGCCAAGTGTCGACAGAGGGGTTCCCGAAGAGGCCCTGGCTACGGATGTGTCGGAGGATATTGACTCTGCCGAACACGATGACGAAGCCTTGGCTGCAGCCGGTGCGGCAGCCGGTGCGGCAGCGGCAGGGGCAGGGTTGGCAGCAGCGGCCGCCCACAGTTCACGAAGGAAGAAGAAGAGGTCTCCCGATCTGGAGCGGGATCGAGACCGAGACCGCTCCAAGAGCTCATCCGAAGGACATCGATCAATGCAGCGGCAGAACAGTCAACGCGGTAGCGGTCTTACTGGCCGATGGGCGGAATCCATGAAGGAAGCCCGACGACAGCATGAAGAAAAGGCCAAACAGAAGGCAGCCTTGACCGAGAAGGCCGAGAGGGCCGAAAAAGAGCGCCGTGCCCATGAACGCGAGCGTGCAAGACGCGCTGAACGAGAACGGGCTGAACGGCCTGAGAGATCTGAGCGCGTTGAACGACATGAACGACATGAGCGAACTGTACGTACTGAGCGGCCTGAACGGGCGGAACGGGCCGAGAGGGAGAGAATCGAGCGAGCTGAGCGAGCTGAGCGAGCTGAAAGGCACGAGAGAGCGGAACGAGCACAGCGACAGGAGCAAGCGGAGCGCGAACGGGCTTTGAGGGCTGAGAGAGTCGAGCGTCACGAGCGGTCTGAGCGATCGGAAAGAATGGAGCGTCATATGAGCGAGCAAGACAGCAGCTCAAGTCGACCGCGACACCGCAGCTCAAATCATTCTGAGAGCTACGAGGGCGATCGCAAGAGCAGCTCCTCCTCCTCTCGCGTCATCCCAGAGTCCACGACCACGAAGCCTCGCTTCTTCCTCAAATACATGGCCGATGGCTCCGACAACCGACCGCCTCTGATGGTCAACGCTGCCAAAGCGACCGCCAATGTTTACGACCGCTCGCGACGCCCCTCAACCACTCATTCCCACAGTCATCGATCCTCGCAGGAAGGCAAGAGCACGAGTGAGCGCTCCACCGAGTCCTCCCGCCACGACGACGAAGAGGATCGTGCTCGCCGCGAGGCTCGCCGGGCTCGCAAGCTGGCCGAACAGACCGAGGCGGCGGCGGCGGCGGCACCGCCAGCGAAAGAAGAAACCGAGCGGCGTCATCATCGCGGCGAGCAGCGCGATAGCACCGAGTCGTCTCGCCATCGCCATCACAGACACCGCCGGGACCCCACGCCTCCTCCGAGCGGAGCTTCGAAGATGAAAGGCTTCTTCAAAGCCGCCATCGCTGCACACTGAGTGCATTGCTCTCTTCCCCTCCCCCTCCCTCCTCCCCTTCCTCCATCGAGTTCATATTCCACGATGATCACAAACCATCTCATATGTTTACTCATGCATCTATACATTACTTTCTTGTAACTTTCTTCCCATCTTTGATTGTTTTCTTTTGAGATTCGTACGTTTTGAGCATGCATTTATAGGTACAGCATTTGGGAACGGGGCATCGTGACTTTTTGTGGTTGACTGTTTTTCATCTTCATGTCTCTTGTATGAGCGAGCTCCCCCCTTTTCGGGTTTCATTTACTCCGATTGTATCTCAATACTTCTACTTTCCACTTTCTGTTCCTCGTCTTTTAGTAAAGACAGGTTACCTTGTAAATGTGTGTGTTTTTTTCTACCAAAAAGCAACATTTATCCTTTGGGATCATTTCGATTTACACTGAGGTTGAGATTCGTAACGAACTGTATTCATAGATGTACAGAGATACACATTCAAGCCCCTGGATGTACATACGCGACTACAAGATCGGAATCGCCAACCCATCTCCTCTGAGATCACTTCCACCACTGTAGATCAGCTTTCCTTCATCATAGTGGCACCGGATGATCTGGCCCCGCCCAAACATGCCCCTCTTCCAGCCGGCCAAGACCTTCACCTCGTGGCCCAGACGCCTCAGGCCCTCGATCGCCGCCTCGGAGATGCCTTCCTCCACGTAGACCGCGCGGTCGACGCTCTTTCCGGGAATGTGCTCGCCCGCCGCGATACAGATGCGCGGGGAATCCAGCGCCGCCTGGGGGTGGTAGCCGAAGGCGAGCATGTTGAGCAACACCTGCACGTGGCCCTGCGGCTGCATGAACCCGCCCATGACGCCGTACACGGAATGCAGCGATCCGTCCGAGACGTTCGTGACCATGGCCGGGATGATGGTGTGGTAGGACCGTTTCCGGGGGGCCAGGACGTTCGGGTGGTCGGGGTTCAGGGAGAAGTTGGCCCCGCGGTTCTGGAGCGTGAACCCGCAGCCCTGGGGGATGATGCAGGTGCCGAAGCCGCCGTAGTTGCTGTTGATGAAGGAGATGCCGTTGCCCTCGCTGTCGGTGACGGAGAAGTAGACCGTGTCGCAGTGGTTGTGGGCTGGGCTGCCGTGGTCGATGATGTCGGAGGCCCGGTCCGGATTGAACAATTTGGCCCGCTCGGCGAGATAGGCCTTGGAGATAAGGTCCTGCGAGGGAATCTTGTTGGTGTCCGGGTCGGTGACCCACCAGGAGGCGTCGGCGAAGGCGATCCGGAGGGATTCGATGAGCGCGTGAAGGTACTCGGCCGAGTTGTGTTGGGCTTCACTGAAGATAGGGATCTTGCCGGTACGTTCGAGCTCCTCGAGGATGCCCAGGGCCATGAGAGCAACTATGCCCTGGCCGTTCGGTGGGTGCTCCCAGATCTCGACGCCCTCGTTGGTCTCGTCGGTGGTGCCGTCAGTCTGCTTCGAGACGATACCCTGTCCCGTGAATTTGAGGGAGATGGCTTCCGTCTCTTGGCTTCCAACCTGGGCGTGGTACTTCAGGTCGTCTAGTGTCATGTAGCCTCCCAGGTCCTGGACGACTTTGACGATCTCTTCGGCAATGCGACCCTCGTAGAAGCCCTTCTTGCCGTGAGCAGCTAGGGAGCGGAATGTCTGTGCGAGGGTTGGGTTGCGCAGGATTTCACCGGGCAGAGGGCTACGGCAGCCGTCTTTAGCCGTGGGATCGGATTTGAGCATCTCTCTAAAGTTGGGAGAGGCAGCGCGAATTAAGTGCTCGCTTTCATGCCACTATTTAGAACGGTTAGTCCCATCGGTGCTAGACCAAAGAGCGGGTTGAGCGTATCTCAGAACGTCTCTTGAAGCCGAAATCGCCAAATATGGAGTGACTTACAAAATATGAGGCCAATTCAGACACAGGGAATCCCTCTTCGCCCAGTTCAATTGCGGGACGCAAAACATCCTCCAATGTCAACCTCCCACTTCCGAACTTCTCGAATGTGTCCACCCACCCTGCAGCAGCTCCAGGAGTTGTGGCTGCAAGGACACTATCCATGGGAATTTTCCCCGAATCGCCGGGGCCTAGTTTGAGATCCTCTCGCACCTTTTCCAACGTTGCGCTGCCAGGATATCTGCCGGAGCCGTTGATGGAATGCACCTTCTTTGTCTTGGCATCGTAGTAGAGGCAGAACATGTCTCCTCCGATGCCAGTGGAAGAGGGTTCTGTTATGTTCAATGCGGCGGCTGTGACCAGTTGACTGTGTTAGTATTCGCTTGAGAACGAAGTCGTTGACATTCAATGACTAACCTACGGCAATTGCGGCGTCCTGTCTAGAGAGTTAGCAAAAGCATGTCTGTTTTTAGAGTTTGCGATGACGAAGACATACAGCAGCGTTGCCGCCATTGCTGAGGATTTTCTGGCCTGCAGCTGCAGCTAGAGGTTGCGTGCATGTCACAATGCCTTTGGTACTATGCACAGTACTTCGTCGACTGGCAAAGGGGGCAAAGTCGGCGTTGAGACGAGAATAGATGGCTTTAGAATTGAGTGGCATTGTTGTTGAGGCGGGAGATCGTTGTTTCAATTGAGAGAGGGGGGGGGGCGGGGAGAGGAAGGGCGGCAGTCGGCTCTTGAGAGGCAGGCGAGGGAAACAAGCGAAGTTATACGGAGGAGGGGAAGAATGGAGAAGCTAGCGGAAGCGATATGACTCCAATATTGGTTGACGGGCTATTGGTAGATAGGCCCGGCCGAGGATAAGAAGAGAGCGCGACGACGATAACTAAAGTTACCCCACTGAGTGAGGGGGAATCTCCAAATGTTGCCGGAGGGCGATGGCGTTATCTTATCGGAGGACATCCTGCTGGTTAGAGTTGGAGTATAGCTGGGGGAGTTTGTGGTGAGTGACTTGCAACAGCCACGACTCTTTAAGACTCCAATAGTTCGTAGTACAGAGTGCAGTGGTGTAGTGGTGCAAAGGGGGAGTTATCATGGATGAGCATCACAGTCTCTCTGTTGTACAGAATTGATTTGTCTTGTCTGCAAACAACTGTGGTCTCACGTGATGCCGCACGACCTTCCCGAATGGGTTGTCAGTCGGTCGGGGAGGCAGCGATGATAAGATGGAAAGCGCGAGGAGGATCTGATATGATCGCATCCGATTTCATCGCCGTTGCTCTACTCTGACCCTCTTCTCTCTTCTCCTTGATTAGACGTTTCATAAGAGGATAAAACCTCCTCCTCCCCACCGACACTCACTCTCTTTGGGATTGGCATTCCCATCAAACCCAGAAAACAACCGCCACGGCTTCTGGATCGCCGAGACGAACCACTTCTACTATTCAACTATTGCCCAGCTCGTGCGGGCCCCGCGCCGAAGAACGGAGCTGGATCTTTCCCAGCCGTGTCATTCCACTCCCAACGTTTATGGAACTCAGGGAATCACCTTTTTTAGCTATAACTGGATTGCTCTGCCTTTGCCAGACTCAAAGAGTCTACGTATACCTAGCTAACCGGCTGCTCACTGTGCGAGATTCTTGTCCGGTGAAAACCAGAGCTTGGGCCGTGTGGATCCCCCGCCTCCTCAACCATCCGTACTTCTGCCGTCATTGTCACAATGGTGGTCTTCGTTGACTACGATCACGACGCCTTCGGCAGGCATAGTTTCCCTGGCGTCCCCGATACACTCCTGCATTCTTCCTTAGAACCTCAAAAGCCAACCTTGTCCAAGTTACTGGCAATCGGTCCAGCTCCATCGAAGAACGTGCCTGCAGCTCACGATCAGTCCGCCGATCCGTCACAGAATCATACATACAACCATGAATATCAACAGCATGCTCTCAACTGGAACGCTTTTTCGGCCGCTCTAAGCTGCTATCCGTATGGAATACTCTTGGGCCAGGCTGCTGAAGTGTCTGGTTCCTGATGTTGTGCTGACTCACCATCCAGGATCATAAAGGAAATTGCTCGAGCAGTCGACCTGAACACCTTGCATGCCCTCTCCCAAACCTGCCGCCAGTTTCACGCAAATCTGGCCCCATACCGCTCGCTGTTGATTAAACAGACCTTACGCTGCGAGAATGAGTACATCGAGACCGTATCGGACATGCTCGACAGCGGAGCAGCAATTCCCGACAGCGTCAAGTCTGTGCTGCAGCTATTGAGCCAAAACGCAAGAGCATCGGGCCGAATAACCACTGGCAAGGTTGCCAAATGCGCCCGGGATATGGTTGCTGAGTGTCGTCGATGCTCTAAAGTGGTGTGCCGGGTATGCTCAGGCTTCCCCGTCTCCGAGTCGAACATTGATGGACTAACGTTGGCTCGCTGCAGAACTGTATCATTAAGCCTCCCTCGAGCAGCATGTATAAAAACCGCATCCGCCGTCTCTGCACCACCTGCCAGACAGCCCCGTTAAGTGACTTAATTGATCCATTGTCCTCTTCGTCTCAATCTGCAATGGCTCCCGAATCATCAGCACTAAACCCAAAGCCAACGGCCATTGCGTTTCAACGTACTCCATGCAATTGTTATGAAGCGATCTGGCTCTGCCATCAATGTGGTCACCGCGTCCGCAGCAATGACACCACCTACCGTCGCGTCTGGACCTGGCGTACACGTTACAGCACCTATCTTGGCGGTCTAGGCACAGGGATCGGCGAGGGCTGTCAGGGTGTCAAGTGCGGCCGAGAGGATCAATGTCTTGCAGCCAAAGAGATCGAACTCGAGGTTGAATGCGAAGCGGACGAGGCGTCCGGGGGCAGCTCGCCGGATTACAGTCATTACTATGAGCATCGGAATCATGCGCATAGTCCCCCCAGACACACCACCATCGAAAGCTGGGACCATCGCGAGGGAGACGAACCGGGGTATTTTCGGCAGGAGATCATCGGGATTGGAGGGAGGGTGAAGCAGAAGGCGAAGAAGAGAATTGTAGTTGGTGCTTGTGTGGCGGAGCATGAAGATGAGAGGGAAACAGGAGAGTATCTTACTAGGGAGGAGAAGGGAGAACATCGTAGTTGGTGCGGCTGGTGCTGGAGGGTCATCCCTGCGAAGGGAGAGATCCAATAGTCCTAGGATCTGGAGTTGCTGAGAAGGCGATAATTGTTAGCACAAGTATATCACTAGGTAGATCGAGTTGGAATACCACTTCCCAGATGTAGCACACACGTGTCGGCCGCAAAAACTTCAGTGATTCGGTTCTGTCTCTGTCACACAAATACTAATAAATGAGCAAAGCCCGAAGTACGTTTGCTGTATGCCTCACGCCAAGCTACCGCGTCCTCGTTACAAGCATAGCTACAGATTGACTGAAAAAGAGTATGATAACCATTCTACTAAGCCTGCACAGCCAAGCACAGCGCCTGCTGCAAGTAACCAGAACATATCACAACAGTCACAAACCCCCTCACCAGAAGTGCCTACAGTCTATCAACTTGCTCGCATCGACGAAAAGTGATCAAACTCGGCAAACACTGCTTACCAAGTATCTCGATTATACTCTAAGCAAAGCAATTTGAAAAAAATCGATGAGAGGTATGTATGTTCGATTCCAGATAGGAAAGTCTATAGCTAGATATACAGAGTATTTGTACAGACCGGAGAGAAACAGTTGTCGATGAACAACAGCGAAGCAGAATCAAAGCAGACAGAACAATGCTTGTACCGGAAAAAAAAAATGCCTGTTCAGGCCCCGAGACCAGAGAAACCCAAACAAATTTCCGAGAACAACATCAAACACCGCCGCGCATGTAAACTTGATATAGCATAACTCAATAAGGCATCAGAGAAGAACATTGATCGACATAGGAAATAGATCGGGAAATCGATTGCGGATCACAAAGTAAAAATCAAAGTTCCTTGCCAAAAAATGGGTATATAGAGAAGTGGTAAATAAGAAGAAGAGAGAAAAGAAACCATGCGTGAGGAAATGGAAACCGAGACAAAGGAGATGCTGTGCAGTAACTCTGTAAGCCAACGCGAGTCTAATAAAGGCAGCTCTGATGGAAGGGGGTTCAGAAGGAGACAGGGTAGCTCCTTCCCAGAGTTCGGGGGGTGAGGGTGGTATTTTGTGTAATCCTCTCTCCGACGAAAGAAACTTTTCGAAGCCTTTGGCAGGATGGATGTTTCGAAGCTGATGGGGTGGATGTTGCTTTTTTTCTGTTCCCCCCAATTTTGGGCTGGTTTTCTGTTTTGTGCGTTCTGTTTCCCCAATTCGAATTGTAAGAACAGCCGCGTCCGCTGCGTCGATTGCGTATTAGACATTTTGATTATAAGCTAACCGATCTTCCCCTCCAAAGCATGGCTGATAAGCCCTCCTTGTTGAGAATCCGGCGAGGATGAGGTCTAATGGATCGTGGTCGTTACTTCGTGCTTCTCGTGCGCGCTTTCACATCGTCCATGACTTCCAGCCCATGTTGGGGGGGAAAGCAGCGGGTGGTAGCACATGCTCGTCATAACCCAGGCTGTGTGTTGACCAGCTCGGTGAGGGGTAGGCGCATTGAAGGGACTGTCAAGCCGGCGTTAGTCGAAAAAAAGGTCTCGAAGTGGAGCTTGATACAACGTACTGGTTGAAGAAGACCTTCGGTGAGGGGCATGGGCATCATGCTCATGGATGGCAGGCTGATGTCCTGCTGGTCCCAGCAACCCATCCGCGATTGCATAGAGATAGGCGATGATGTCAAGTCGTGCTCAATGATGCTCTCGGGGTAGGGCTCGACTGTGGTCATAGGCGTAGACACCACGGAAGATCGAGCGTAAGAGTGAACTGAGAGCGAGCCATCCGAGACGGGAGAGGGGCATGTGTCCGGGGTAGCGTAGAAGCGGCTGTCCTCGATCGACTCGTGAATGTGAGGGCCCTGGTACAACGGGGTGTGGGGTGCCGACTGCAAATCAACTCCACTCCACATTAAGTTGCAATCGCTGGAGAAATCGGGGTGGATAGCCGGCCCGACGAGCGATCCTACGGACATGGCATTCTGGGGCTGGGAGACGGTGAGATAGGGAGTCGGGTGGGCGTTGACGGGTGCACACTTAGGCACATAGGCCTCGGGCATTACAGAGGTGCGGTTCTGACGCTGCCAATGTGTGGTGTGGTCCATCTGGGCCTCGAGCTCACTGGGGTTCTGCGTTAGTGGCCAGGCAGTGACATTTAGCATGGAAGGTCACTCACTGTCTTTCCATGTGGCGGGAAAGCAAGTCGGGACGGTGGAATGCTTTCTTGCAGTTGAGGTGGGCGCATCGAAACAGAGCCTCGGGGTTGTGGTTCAACTCATGCCGTCTACACAAAGCAGATTAGCACGTGAAAGAGTCGGACCGGGTACATTGCCATCAAGTACCTTCTGTGCTCTGCTCTAGTGAAAACCTTGAATTTGAATGTCAGTCGAGAACTCATGTTGACTGATAATTTATGTCTACTGACTTTGTTGCATCCTGGATACTCGCAGGCGTGAACGCGTTTGCCCTTCTTCGCTTTGCTAATGCGATGCGTCGTTGGGGTGTACGTGATGGGGAGAGGAATCTCCGATTGGGCAGTGCTTCGGCGCATGGTGACTGTATGTTGCTGGCCAGCAATTGATTTTGTAGTAAGAGTGATAGAAGAAGAGTTGGTAGGAAGTGGTTGTTCCTGTTGCTGTTGGTGTTTGAGATGTGTAGGAGTGATTGACTTTATAGAGTCGTGTGGAGAGGTGATGATAGACAGAAAATCTGCCGGCGACTGGGTCGAAGATATAGTTCTGGTTCCTGAAGGAGATGATCCCCTGGTCATTCTGTAACAGACCCAGACTTGTCAGGAACGGGAGGTGAGCTATGGGTGTGGAGATTGGGGGTCGTGAGCAAGGTGGGCTGTGATGCAGCTATACTAGCAAAATTGGGGAACGGGCCAGAAGCGTGGGTGAGTGAGATCAGGAGTTGATTGATTTGATGTAGATGATTATGATGATAATGATGATGATGACGGAAAAATGCCTCGCATCTGCAAATCAAGAGGGAGGCAGTGAGATGCGGAATTGGAAAAAGAAAAGTGAAGATCTGAAACGAACTGGTATGGAGAACGAGGAGAAGGAAGGCTTAGAAGAGGGCCGGGAGAAGGGCGAGAATAGTTACATGCAGAGAGATGATGGAGATATAGAAGATTCTCCCAATGCGGCTAAGTCTACCTCTCACCTACCACATACGGTACCGAAAGATCGCCGGGTAACTTGGGGGAGGGGAGGGGGAAAGACAGTTCGGAAAATAAAAGAATAATTCCAATTTTGAAAAAAATAAGATATGTGACGGGAATAAAAAAAGAATTAGAATTAATAAGAAAAACTCAAAGCAATAATGTGTATACATCCCAAAAATCCAGACCCAAAACGATCAAGAATAATACGAAAATGCGGAAATTCACGAAAATATTTGACCAATGTAACCAGCATCAATGGCTAGTCCCGAGTAGTCAGAGGTAAGCGAGCAGAAAAGCAGTTCTTGATGATCAGTCTCTGCAGGGTGATCATACTGGGTTAGCCACGATGGCTATGTTGGCTTGCTGGGGACAGCACGAGTGGGTAACCACTTACGGGATCGACCCATCCTCATTTTCCAAAGTCAAAAGAATCAGATTAATTCCCTAATTCCATTCGAAATACACATGATTAACGGTGCGGGAAACAAGGAGGAAGGATTGAAACGGGCGACGGGCGACGGGCGACGGACGATAAGAAAGTGGACTCGATACGACAAGTAGTGCATAAAAGTAGATGGAGATATCAACACAAAGAGAAAAGAAGAGAGACAGAATAATAGGACTTGGGGAGGAAGGCAAAGTACTGGACAATACGGAGAATAATCAAGATTACTGCAGAGAATTCAGAAAAAAAAAGAAAAAAAAAAAAAACAAGAAAAAGAACTACTGAGTATTTGACAAATAATATGTATTGTCTCATCAGCCGTTAGTTAGTCATGACAACAACAGCAGCAAATTGCAGCCGGTAACAGACCAACACCTTCCAAGTCTGCGGCTGAGGCGCACTGCAGGGATTGGGAGCGAAGAGAAGACGAGGATAGGGAGGAAAAAAGGAAAGGGGGGACAAATAGACCATGCCATCATGGGATAAATTACATGCCGGTATGCAGCTCGTACCACACACCCACCACCGCCCGGTCTACAGCGGTTCAGTCAATCAATCACCTGGTGGAAGTTGCACCTGTTGGCTCGTCCCCATCTCCCTCCATTGTCATCACCATCCTCATCGTCTCCCGCCGCCACGAGGCGACGGGGAGGAGAGAGGGGAGGGGGGAAAGTGGGGGAAGGTGAGGATCCAGGGAAAAACAGACCTTCCGATCGAAAAATGCCTGGATGGATCATGGATGGATGGGCCAATCTATTTCCCTGAAGAGGAAGGATATAGTTCACAGAATAATATTCCTACTCGCAGAATGCGGGCAATGGGTTAATAAAAGACTTATTAAACATCAATCAATATGAACTTCAAGCCATCTATCCACCCCTCATGCCATACAGGACTTCGGATTGATTAACCGGGCCTCATGTCTTTGCTGCCAACCCACGCGGCTCTGTGCCTGTGTGTCTACCTCTGAATAGAAGGGTACAGTACACTAAGTACTCAGTACAGTACTAATTTTATGCAGAGAACTGCGATGCTGAATAATGGGTGGTTTAGGGCTTACGACCATATGAATGTCTCGCGCGTGACAGGGGTCTTCAGCGGATCAAGCTGATCTTAGCGGCTAGGAGGTCAGGATATCGAGGATAAGGAGCAAAATTCATGCCAGATCAGTGGAGGAGGGGGGAAAGGGTTGTTGAGTGGTGGTTAGGAGGAGAGTGGGAGTTGAAGAAAAGACAGTCACAGAAATCCAATCAACAGTTAGAAAGAATGTTGGGGATTTGAGTCTTCTCATTGGTGTGCTCGCGTGAACTAGTGTTAAGCGCCTCTTAGGTACAGTACTTTTACTGTCATGGCTGAGGTTGGGGAGGGGGTGAGAAGAGATATCTCCACTTTTACCCCCTCTGCTTAGCGTGCGTTGGCCTAGGTAGACAATTGCTGGATGGGAAACGACTCATGGAGGCTCTCGCTCATTGTCCGGTCCTCCCCGTAGCAATCAGGTTCAGGCTTTCCGTCCAAGCCTCAGGGGCTCCACAATGGAGACTGGAGATTGGAGATTGCTATCCGCCCT